GGTCTAAGATTTGCCGTCTGCATCAAAGGGCAATGTGAGTTTTGTTCACTACCAATCTACACTACGCTGCTACAGAAAACCATGCAACTTAGGTCAATCCCACCTTGAGCTTTTTGAATGTCTGTACCTACCCCTTAAGACAGCCAAGAATCTCTGAAACGGATCCCTTCAGGCTGGAACAGAAATTAGGAGGAGTCTCTTCACAAAAAAAGTTACACTTTTTTTCTAATTGGTTATAAGAAACATTAAACAGTAACCGCAAGGCAAACATGACACCAGGAACAGGACAAGCTACTTCACCATATCTGTCATAGTGGGGAAAATGCTACATACACCCAAGTAAGAGGGGCACAGGTAGTCTACCACTCCCAAAACAACTAACCCAACATTCTCTAATTTTGGTTCTGTCCAAAAGGAAAAATAAAGCTGCTTTTGTGCATTCGTGCAATTTAAAATATACCAGCAATAGACTGTTTTAATCTAATTTATATCCCCTTCCTGTACTTTTTGCTAAATATTAAAAGCTTTCTATTCCTAACTTCTGTATTTTACATTCTATAATTCAAAAAAGATAAAACAAATGTGGGGGAGGGGGTCATAAAAAATAAAATGGTCACAGGACCACCCAAGATATAAGAACTACATACGAGAATTTAGCAAGAAAATGAATACATCGCAGGGTCCTGAAGACGGCTATAAAGGGGCTCTAGTGGTTATGCAAGGAAGGGCTTTTGTAGGTACAGTCTCTGAACCAAAAAGCTTCTATTTCATCCTCAGGAGACATAAACAAACTTTCCCTGAAGGATGTAGGGGGATAGACAGTCACTTATGTACAGCACCCTTTTGCCCATATCATAAAGGGTTTCTGAAACCTCAGCAGTGCAGTCTGGGTTGAGACTGTTTTCTCCTACCTGGCTGAGCTTTTCCTAATTTCTGTCATGATACCATAAAGCAAAAGGCATCCATTATTTTCATGACCACAGTAACCCAGCGCAGGGAGATGACCTCACTGCTAAAAGAGATCTCAGGAGGATGAAAGCAACAAGAATCTGGGAAGTTACTAAAATTGTTCCATATTTTGCTATTAATGCATTTTTCTCTCACATTCATCCTTCCATGTAAGTCTCTCAGTAATTCTCAAAACACCTCCTCGTCAGTGAAATAACTGCTCTGCATGACTGATCTATAAGAGATTAATAACATTGGCATTAGAATATGACACTCTGTACCACTAGCAGTGCATGCAACAATCAATATAGTATTAATTTTTTCCCCTTTTAGCAGCATGCTTCAGTCCTCCATCATCCAACGTTGCCTTTTGCAACTTGCTGTTTGCTATAGAAGGCTGATGTATTCTGTCATTTTTTTCCAGTCTCTGTTAAAAATGTTTGACTATAAGGTTCTGCAGTTACTGGTTGCATGATGATAGTCTGCATTTCCATAGCTCTTTCAATATATCTACAAATTTTGAAGTCTCACATCTCCCCAGTAAGAATGTGTATCGTCTTTTTACAGACATGGAAATCAAGGTAGACAAAAAGCACTATGACACCCACAGCAAGTCTAGGAAGGCCTAGAATACAATGCAGAACTTCTTATACTTACCCCTAATGATCTATCGCTGGATCTTCAATATCCTATACCAGGGGTAGGCAACCCCCAGGATGGGTGCCAGAGTGGCACACAAAGGCATTTTGTTAGCATGCGCACCTCAGGGCAAACAGTGGGGAAGGGGCTGGGGCTGTGCTGTAACAACAAGGATCAGGCTCCTCATGGTTCCCCCACTGTCTGCCCCTGGCACGCCATCATCTTACAAATTGAGGTTGTCAGTGTTTTTGGCATTCTGCCCCAAAAAGTTGCCAACCCCTGTCCTGTACCATTTAATTCCACTGAAGGTATAGCACTCCATACTTGGCGAAAGGATGAAGCATTCCAAATCAATTAAGGAGTCTCCTTCATGTTTTGGTAAGAGTAAAGAGAACAAATGGGACTATTCTAAGGTAAAAAAGGAATAAAACTCTAAGGGAAAACTGTAAAACCTTTGCCTTCTACTGGGTCTCAATGCCTCACTGGATAAATCTACCCTGCAATCAGAGGCATAATTGCAGCACGCGCAGACCTCCTCAAACTACTTTTAATCTAGACAGCTGAGATAACAATACTAGTTAAGATTCAGCAACACAGACTTCAGTAAAGGTTGGCAACCTCAATACAACCCAGAGGTCCAGGTGCTTCTACTACCTGAGCGCTGCTAACTGCTATTAGATGGGTGCTGAGTGAGTTGGCCAACATGACTATAGAGCCATTATCTTTGCAAACTCGTGGCGACTGGGAGACGTCCTCGATGATTGCAAAAGGACAAATATAGTGTCCATCTTTAAGAAAGGGAAGGAGGAGGACCTGGGGAACTATAGATTGGTCAGCCCACCCCATTCCCTGGAAAAGCAGGTCAAGGAATTCATTTCTAAGCACTTGGAGAAGAGGGTGATTAGGAACCGTCAGCATGGATTCACAAAGGGCATGTCATGCCTAACCAACCCGATTGCTTTCTATGATGAAATTACTGGCTCTGTGGATGTGGGGACATTGGTGGACGTGATATACCTTGACTTTAGTAAGACCTTTGATACGGTCTCCCACAACATTCTCACAAGCCAGCAAAGGAAGTACAGGTTGGACTGTAAGGTGGATAGAAAACTGGCTGGATTTATGGGCTCAGAGGGTAGCAATCAGTGGCTTGATGTCTAGTTGGCAGCCGGTATTAAGTGGGGTGCCCCAGGAGTCAGTCCTTGGGCTAGTTTTGTTCAATGTCTTTATCAATCAATGATCAGGAAGATGGGATGAAGTGCACCTTTAGCAAGTTTCCAGACAACATCAAGCTGCGAGGAGTAGTAGATATACTGAAGGGTAGAGCTAGTATTCAGAGAGACCTAGACAAATCAGACAACTGGGCCAAAAGAAATCTCATGAGATTCAGTAATGGCAAGTGCAAAGTCCTGTACTTAGGATGGAACAATCCCATGCACCACTACAGGCTGGGGATGGCCTGCCTAAGCAGCAGCTCTTTAGAAAAAGACCTGGGGGTTACAGTGGACAGTAAGCTGAATATGAGCCAACAGTGTGCCCTTGTTGCCAAGAAGGCAAAACACATACTAGGCTGCATTAGTAGGAGTGTTGCCAGCAGATCAATGGAAGTGATTCTTCCCTTCTATTTTGTACTGGCAAGGCCACATCTGGAGCACTGCGTCCAGTTTTGGGCCCAAAAGGATGTGAACAAATTGGGGAGAGTCCAACAGAAAGCAATCAAAATGGTTAGGCGGTTAGGACACATGACTTAGGAGGACAGGATGAGGAACTGGGCTTATTTAGTCTGGAGAAGAGAAGACTGAGGGGGGATTTAATAGTAGCCTTCAACTACCTGAAGGGGGGTTCCAAACAAGATGGAGCTGGACCGTTCTCAGTGGTGACAGATAACAGAACAAGGAGCAATGGACTCAAACTGTAGCAGGGGAAGTTTGGGTTAGATATTAGTAAAAGCTCTCACTAGGAGGGTAGTAAAGCACTGCAACAGGCTACCCAGAGAGACTATGCGAACAGGAAGAGGTTATTTGGTGAGTAAGCGGCAGACACACATACTAGGATTAGGATACCAGCAGTTAGAAGCTTTCTTCCTCCACCCTACCAGGGATTTCAACACTAGTCAGGATGTAATTATGCCTTTAAGATGGGGAAAGAGCATGGCACAATTTACTAAATCTTTCATTTAACACTTTGCTCCTGTCCTAATTCAATATTTTAATTTATGGAGGAAAAAATGAGAACTGAAAAAACCCACAAAAGCTCTGAAAGGCTAGGACTTGTTACAAATCACAATGTAACAGCAGCAGGACTGGCAACTCTTCTAAGAGTTGGGGTTTCTGTTTCGAGATATTTTAAGAAAGTAGGCCAGGCAAGCTTTCCACCTGCTCTCGCTACCACCATCACAACAGACAGAACTAAGTGTCTTCTGGTCTACAAGTACACAGGGATGAAACAAATAATACCCCTATCAGCTGTTAGGTCTGCCTGTTCTCCTACTGATACAAGTGAACCAAAATTCTTGCAACTTTAACTCTGAATGAAACAGAGTTAAAGTCGCTCTTGCATCACATGAGGGAGCTAAGAGATGTTACGCTGCACCAGCTGCCGAGCGCTCCCGAGCAGCCCTTCTCCTGTTGCTAGGGGCTAGAAGGTACATTTGCCCATAACTCATCACGGTCTCTTGGCCACACAAGTTGCACGCGGGACAAAGCCATATGTCCAGGATCTGCTGCAATCATTTCATGCCGCTGCCCATTTCTGACCATGGCAAGTACAGTCCTTCCTGGCCCAGGCTCTTGTTCCCAGTACCATCTCCCTGACACACTGCTCTGCCCTGGAGAAGCTGTGCCTTGCCCCTGGGCACCTAGGAGGGATTCCCCCCCAAGGGGAAGCAAACCCAGAAGCCACACCTACAGCCAGTCCCATTATCCCCCATCCCCACCCCCTGCAGTTTGGGGGTGGGAGAGCTTCCAGCTGACCAAACCCAAGTCTTCCTGGGGCCTGTGCCTGAGGGAACCTGACACCCAACAGCACCTGCATCCCCTGGGGGACAGACACCCCCAGCTTCACAAGGCCCTTACTGGGCCTGCCTCCCCCAGCGGGAAGGGCAGGGTAGGGTGGGGGCCTCGGGAAGGTCCTCTGGGACAAGGATGCCACCCCCTCCCCCCTCCGCGCGGTGGCTCCTGGGAAGCGTAGTCCACCCGGCCCGCAGGGAGGGGCGGAGCGGGCGAGCCCGCCCCGGGCTCACAGGCCACTTCTGCCCGGGGGGCTCGCGCCGTGCCCCCGGCCCCCCCGCCCGGCCGAGGAGGGACTCGGCGTCCCAGGAGCCCCCGCGCGACAGGGCGCAGTGCGCAGACGCAGCACAGGTGAGAGGTCGGCGCTGCGCCGCAGGCCGCGGCCCCCCCGCCACCCGCGCTCACCGCGGACCCGCTGCGAGGGGAAGAGGCGCTGCGCCTTCTCCAGGAAGCGGCGCGCCTTGTCGGGCTGGTTGGCCTTGATGGCGCCCACGGCGATGGAGATACACCGCTCCGCCTCGTCCCGGTTGGACTCCATGGCGGCGGCAGCGGCCGGATGGGCGGGGCAGGGAGGCCGGCACGCAGTGATGGCGTCATCCGCGCGCGCCGCGGCCCGTGCTGGAAAACCCGGCACTCACTGGAGACGACAGCTGACAGAACTACCGTATTGGCGCGAGTACTGTCGTCCTTACCACATTAACGAGTATATTAGCGCGTTTCATCAATTTAGGTCACCCGTGTTACTAACACAGTACACCATGTCCAGCACCTACACAGGTGGTCCCTGGGCTCTGGCTTGGGGGCAGCCTGAACCTCCCCCCCCAGCACTAATTGCCGCTGTAGGTGTAGCAAAAATAGTTACTTTTCTCTATGTTTCTTTGTTCCTTGTTTTAGTATTAACCCCTGCATTCTGTAACTTTCCACCCACATGGTACAGGATGGCCCACTACCTATGTCTTATAGGTTGCTCAGGTTTTGGTTTGAAATGACCAATCAAAATGTAACACGTCAACTGAAAAAAATGCTAGCTCAATAAAAGCCACGTGCGCTCTTTGTTTAGGGTCGACACTGATCTGAGCAACAGGCTCCTCTGTCGGCATGCTTGCAAGCAATAAAATAGAGTTGGACCCAGCCTGAAAGTGTGACTCTCTTCTAGAGGTGAATTGGACTAGCCTCCAGGGGATAAAATCAGCAATTTATGCAACATAGGGAAGGACGATAGTCACCTGAGGCTGAGTGGGCCAGCGTGTTCGTGGTTCTGTATTACCCACGGAATACAGGGAAGGTGGAGGAGTCAGGAGCCTGCCCCTGTGACTTGTTGTAGACCCAGGGCCCTGCCTTGTGACACAGCCCCTCACAGTGCAGCGGGGCTGAATTGCAAACACTCGTCCCAAAGCATAAGCCTTGTCCCCCTATCTGGACATAGATTTATAGACATTATTCATAGTTTCATAGACATTAGGCCTTGAAGAGACCTTAAAAGATCATCGAGTCCAGCCCCCTGCCCCAGGGGAGGGAAGTCACAGGATCCCAGCAAGATAAATGTTCAATTGACTCTTAAAGAAGTCCAAAGTAGGTGCTTGGACCACCTCCGGCAGCAGTCTGTTTCAGGCCCTGAAGGCTTGGACTGTAAAGAAGTTCTTCCTTATGTCCAGCCTGAAACAGTCTTGGAGGAGTTTGTGACTGTTTGACCTTGTCATCCCATGGGGTGCCTTGGTGAATAGGTGTTCCCCCAGATCCTGATGCACACCCCTTATATACTTATAGGCAGCCACCAGGTTCCCCCTGAGCCTGCTCTTTTCCAGGCTGATGAGTCCTGTAGCTCTCAGCTTCTCATCATAAGACCTGTTTTCCTGCCCTCTGATCATGCGTGCAGCAATCCTCTGGACAGTAGTAGCTTTGTGATGCTTCCTTGTACAGCGGCACCAAGCCCCCTGCTGGGTCATGATAAGGAGCATCCCCACATCACTTTCTCATGCAGACACTGCTGTGATGGAGCACGGAGCTGCGCCACCTCTAGGAGCTCATTGCACAATGTTACTGTCTCCCTCCTCCATGTTCAGGGCAGGGCAGATGAGCCTAAGGACACAAGCAACTCACTGAGGGCATGACGCTCACCAGTCCTGAACCCAGGCCACTCTGCCGACTTTCTCCTACAATTGCACTTCAAACCATGCCTGCAGGGCAGGCTTAGATATCATGACATTCTTTATCCTAAAAATCAAACATCTTTTTTCCTCTACACAGGGACAAGGGATCAGTCCAATAATTGTTCTGAATTTCTGCTGTCCCTGACATGGTCCTACATGGGGGAAGATAGGATGTAAATAAGAGTCCAGTTACTCTTCCAAGGCACCAGTGTTCCTCTGAGTTATTCTCTTTTTTTTATACAGTCAGATTTACTGATCCATTTATTGTTATTTAACTTGAATAAAGAGACCTTTTCTAATAATTTGTCTAAGAATCTTTTATTGAGGTCCATTCATTCTACATAATTGCAAATTTAGTTCCTGATTACTTAAACACTTGTTTAAGTCTTTGAGCTCTTCGCATACCTAAAGTTAAGCTTGTGCTTAACTGCTAGGGATTGATGAGAAATTATCTTTAAAGCTATGTATAGTACCACCGTGAGTTCCTGAAAGTTTAGATGTCAGTAATCAAAAACTTGACTCTCAAGAAAACTTCAGTAAACATTTAGTGGTTTTACCATGCAGGTAGGCCCAGTGCCAGTGGGGAGGTTGTAACACTATTCTTTTGGCTTGCAGGAGACAAAGGAGGAGTTTGGGGCCAGAAAGCTTCAAAAATAGTTTCAACTTCCTCCTTTAAAAAAAGAATTCAAGATTAAGCAGTTGGGGACCTGAACTTGACTGTGACTGAATAAAGCCTTTTGTTAAATCCAGATAATCCTGTAAGAGTCAGATTTTCAAAGGGGTTTAGATACCAAAAGATACAAAGCAGCACTTCTGAAAATCCCTCTTGAGGCACTTAAATACTGTTAGAAATCTGCTCCTTTCTTTTTCTGTTAAGGATTTTTATGATGTGACTTATTTGATGTTTACTCACTCTTACTTTCTCCCCATCTCTGACATGCCTGGCCCATTTAACCACTGGTTTCTTTTAAGACTGCCAAGAAGGGAGCACACTTGTGCCAGCTTCAGATTAGGTAACAGAGAGACATGGAAATACACTTGACTTCACCATACGCTCCAGCCTTAACCCTGCTTGTGCCTCAGCCTTCTCTGAGTTCAGAGTTCAAGCTTCTTTCTAAAAGTTTTTCTTTCTTTCTTAGTCATGTACTTGGGATTATTCTCCAAAGTTCCTTCGCATCAAATTCAAGGCAGTTTGCGCAATAGCAATTTTACTGCCATGGTAAAGAGAAAAAAGCATGAAAGTCTTTAGATTTAAATGAGGCATTTAAAAATGAACTGTAATGACTAATTGAGTTAAATGGACAAGAAGAAAAATGAAATACCAAAGGGGAGGGTGCTTAGCACAGTACGTGGGTCCTGTTTACATGCTACATTCAGTTCATTTTTCTGGGGTTCTATCTCCAAACAATCTGCAGGTGCAAGAGACCGCCAACTGGTGAGTTTTTTGAACTCTAGTGTTAACCATACAGTCACACTGTTCTTAAAGTTCCACCTGTTGCTCTTGTCACTTTAAAGTTACACATTTTATGTAGGATTTTCAAAAAACACTCAGCATTTAATTAAGCAAGCTAAGTCATAGTAAAAATTCTCATTGATTTCTCTACACCAGCAATGGGTTCCCTTGGAAATCCAGTCCTTACCCCAGATTCCATTTAGTTTAGAAATGCCTGCAAGTAAGAGCAGCTAGTTTTGTTTTGTATTTTAACATTTTAATTAATCTCAGCAGCAGGTCTGCAGGGACTATAATTCCTTTCTTAGTAATTATACGGATACCTGCAGAAATTATTCTGTTTTCTGAACCGTTATATTTGCACATTAGTGAATTTACAGCTCCTAGCACGACTAGAGAAGTAGAAGTAGTAGTAGTAGCAGCAATAGGAATGCTAATCATGACGTAAGGAAGTCTTGCACTCAAATGCTTATCTAACTATATCCCAATTACATAGTTGAGCCAATAAAAATACCACCCTAAGATAACCTTGCCAAGCATAAAAAAGCTTTTGTTCTGTCCTTTTGTATTTGTCTCTTCTGTTGGGGATTTTCCTGGCTTAGGTCCCCTGTAGGTGCAGAGCCAGTAGTGGACCTCTTAAGCATACCATATTTCACAATATGTCATACCTTAAACTTAATTTTGGTGCATGCCTGTCATTTCTGCCTTCAGCAATAGAGACAGGAAGAGCAAGGGAAGTACATGAATGTGACACACTCCCTGAATATGTGAGGTGATGTTGCCACCCAGAGTTCACACCCATTTTCAGGCAGGCCAGGACAGAGCTATAAACCCTTCCAATCTGTTCAGCCCATTAAAGTCAGCAGTTGTCACTGCCACATACCCCAGCAATGGAGAAGTCCACACACGTAAGGAGTAGAGAAACAATAGGGAATAAACAGTATTATGTATTTCCATCACTATCTTTGCAGTCTTTGGAGCACAGAGCAAGTCATAAATCGGGAAGAGTTATGGCCAGAGCATGCTGTCCTGTCTGCCTACAGAAAACACACAGTTCTTTGAGGTCCTCTGCCAGCTGCCATAGTGTAGAGCAGCTCCTAGGATAAAGAATTGAGGAATCACGAGTTCAACCTGAATGCAAGTCCTAGCTAAAATGGAGTGCACACAGATCAAGTGCTGTGAAATTTGTCCCACCTCCTATTTCAACAAGTAAATTTTGTGGTTCTGGGAATAGATATAGATCCAACTCCTTCCACAAGGTTGACTTTACTACCCTCATTTTCATCAGTTATGGGATCACATATCTATGGAGTAGGCCAATTTCACCTGTAGAGTGACTGTCTCCTCACATCTTCTTTTCTTCTAATTACCTTTTTGCCCAAACCATAACATAAAGAATTTCAGAATATACCATATCTGTGTGCAGTTTTGCTATTGTGACCATTACTGATAAATCTCTTTATAAAAAAAAAAAATCAGATTTTTCTTCTGATTACAGCTCAAACTCATAAAATACAGTACTCTGACATAGTTCCATCATGTTAACCCAATTCCTGGCAGGTAGAGAGGAACCATTTGCTTATGCAACCCAAATAACAGAAACAGTATTTTAGAGTAAGCTGAATGCATCCTAAAACCTTTACTTGAGCTCACCTGTAGTTTCTCAACACTACAGTGGTTTCTTTTAATTTAACACTGAACTTTTTTTTTTTTTTTTTACTATATTTTCAGAATTAACAGCATATCCCTCCATTTAATCACTTTAGCCAAGCAGTGGTATATTAGACTCTCATTGATCCTCCGCTGCAAAAAGCTCAGCAAAGTGTCATAAATCTTAAGCCATCCATTACAGAAAGGCACAGGTTTTGTGATGGGTCCATCCATACTCACACAGCTGTCAAGGTGCTTGATTCTGCCGGTAGAAAAAACTGATTTCCTGATATTAAATTCCTTTTGCTATCTTGGCACAAGACAAATGTAAACC